TCTCAAAGGAAATTGAACTAGAAGAAGTGTAAATCTTTCTATCTTAGGGAAAATGAAACTGAGCAGAGTTAATGCAGTTTGTCCTAGGTTGTGCATTTAGGCTGTGGCACAATTAAGAGTGGGACCCAGGCTTCTGAATTCCTAGTGCTTAATAATAGCAATTCATCCCCTGAATTATTATTACTGTAGTCAGTTTGCTAGTTTTACCACCAAGATTTTCTTAATCTTTTTTATGCTCCAGTATTCCTCAGGGGAAAGAAGTGACTTAGTTTTGTATGGAGGAAGAGAAATGGTGAGCACAGTTCCCCTGTCTTCTCCACCTGGAGGAGGGCCTCTAACTCCTTCCTGGCTTCTATCCCCATAACTGTGAGAATCTCTGATTTAGTGTCTAAATTACTAAGCAGGTGATGATAACAAAGAAATGGTGATGGAATTGGTTTGAGGGGAGAAATTAGTTCAGACAGGTATGTTCATTGAAAATACGCTTTTGATTGCCTGGAATATAGGCGTCTAATGACTACTTCATGTTTTTACTACCTTATTTTTTTTTAATAATGATAATATTCTAGATTACCATGTTCTAGAAAAATACAAAAGAGAAACATTTGAACAGATCTGAGGCATTGAATTTGTTAAAACTATTAGCAACTTCATCAACTAAATCATATATATGGGTAAGGGTATAAAAGTTAACAGTTTCATTTTTTAATTTGATTTAGCTTACTCATACTCTGTGTGACTGTTATGTTTTCCATCTCAGATAATTATGTATGTACCTAAAAGAAAACTAGGTTATTTTTCTAAATTATGCACTTGTTAAAAAAAAAAAAAAGTGGCAAGTACTAAGTTTTCTTAAAAATCTAGAAGTAGAGGAAGAAAATGAAAATAACTAATAATTCCACAAGATAATCTCCACTAACTTTCTTTAAAAAACAAAACAAAACAGTAATGCTAACAAGTGGTTAGAAAATTCCAACAGGGTAGAAAGGTATGAATGAAAAAACCTTCTCTCCCCTACCCATTTCCTAGAGGTATTTACTGTTAACAGATTCTTGTATATACTTCTGGAGAAAAAAATTTTCATGTGTATTCTAGCCCAGTTTACCCCCTACTCTACACATTTTTTTTCCATTTCTAATACATGCATGAATAAATATGCGTATATATTTTTTACATTTTTTTTTCTCATTCACCACAGATTTTTGTGTCATTCTTTTTAATGGATTATTAGTGTTTAAATGTTTGGAAGACTTGTGTTTCATTTCTAACTAGTTAAATGATAGACATTAAAATATTTTTCCAATTTTTTGCTATGAACCACTTTATGGTAAATGACTGTTATCGATATATCTTAGTATGCTTTTTTAGGCATATCAGTAGGGTAATTTCATATTAGCAAAATGATCGCTAGAACGGTTAAACCAACTCTTTTATCTACCAATAATGTATGAGTGCATTTTAAATACATTTTAACCTCCAGTGAAAAATCTTTACTACTTGCATTTTATAGTTCGTGCTTTTTCTAAAAATAGATACTGTTACAAATGAGTATCTGTTTAACAGCTTTAGTTTTATTTTTCCCCTCCTTCTCCCTTTCCAATTTACTGTGTCATTAATGGTAGATGTTTCAAGTTTTCCTGGAGAGTATTGTTAGAGATACCAATTCCTTAGGAGACATAAATAATAGTCTGACATGACAGATGACAACTTGCAGTCACATTTTAAACCTGCTTTGAACAGATGAAAACCATTTTAAAAAGAAAGAGAAAGTAAGGGGGAGGAAGGAAAGAGGTAAAGAGAAAACATTTTTAATACAGTTGTTTCCTTGGAAGATATGGAAGCATTCAGGTCCTAGACTTCAGTTCCACCTACACCACCTACCATGGAAGCTTGATGAAGTCACTTTATCTCCTTGGGTTTGCTAATCTATAAAATGAGGTAGGCAGGGCATGTGTTATTGTCAGGTATATAGTTATGATCAAGTAACTTTATTCTTTTGAAAAAATGTAGTACTATAGAAATGTAAGCTGGTTCTGCTATTCCCTTAAGTACCTAAATAAAGTGTTCTCATTTCATACTGAAATTTCCTGTATTATGATACTAAACTCTTATTTAGAAAAATAATTGTTTTCTCTTTGGGCTGGGCAAAGGTAATGTTTATAGTATAAACTGTTTTCAAATGTCGTGTTTCTAGAAACTCAGTTTTTAATTTAACTGAATAGAATTAACTTTCAAGAAACTAATCTCACTCTCACCCTCCCCAAGCTGAAACAATGAGATTTTATTTTGAACATAGAATACTAAAATGTATGTCTAGAGGCAAACCATCCCTACTTCCCCTCCCCCATCCTAATCTAGGTATACATCACTTAAATCACAGTTCTTGAAACATTCCAGTATTTCTGATGTAAAATGAACATTAATGCTATCTTTGAATAATGGGTAGTTTTACTTTCTGCCAGCTAAGCTTACAAATGCTACCAGTCCTCTAAACATTTGGTATCTGAATTATTGGAAAATATTTGGGGCGTTTTTCAGAACTTTAAAGTGATAGATAACTTTACCAAGTGCTAAGTGCTGTTTGAGGCCTTTTACAAACTACAGACACCATTCACAATCCAGTATCTTCATTATTGCCAATATCTAACATCAGTGAAAATATACCTTTTATTCTTCTGTAGGATAACATTTTTAATCAGAAGCCCCTTTTTATGAGAAGACTGTTAAATGGAATAATTATTGGAGTTTTATTGGCTTAAAAAAACCCTAAATGTTCAAAGAGCCATTTCTTTTAAGCTCCTAATTTGAAAGAAATGCTGGGTTTTTTTTGTTTTGCCCTGCAAATCATTTCGAAAGTTTATTAAAAAGGAAAAACAGCACTGTGAGGCTACTTTGTGGATGGCGAACCTGGAACCAGATGAAGATAGTCGTCATTGCTGTAGCCTTGGACAGATATTGTGCTTAAACTTGGGAAATAAAGCATAATTGCATGACATAAAAGTGGATTGATACTTTAAAATATTGATTTGCTCTGTAATAATTTGTGTGGTGGTTAAATCCATTTTGAGCTAGAAATGTGTAGCTCTCTGCCCAAAAGATCTAGAAACCCTTTTTATAGTTACATTACTCTATCACCCTGCTCTCCAGCTTCCTATTAGAGGAATAGAATTAAAAAGTAGCACTGTTTTAACTCTATTGCGGCAAAGTAACTTTTAAGTAAAGATAGTGGTGTGACACTTGAAAATCTATTAATACTGAATACCATCAAATAAAAGACGACTATAACATATAGTCAAGAACCATTCTAAGCATTAGAAGGAAAAAAAATAGGACCCTTGGAAAAGTGTGCTTCAAAAGAACCTAAGTTACCATGTATAATCTAGAATGTAATACCTAGTACAATAACATAATGTGGACAGTTTTCAAAATGGAGTTTTAATACTTTATAAGAAATTTGTTTTAGATGCCTAGCTTTTGAAAATTAAGCACTTCCCTCGTTTTATTTTGTTTTTTCTTGACTCTCTGCCCCATTACTCAGCAGAAAGAGGGAAAATACAGATCTTCGTCAACTTATGATGGGGCTGTGTCCTGATAAGCCTATCATAAGTTGAAAGTATCATTAAGTCAAAAATGCATTTAATATACCTAACCTACTGAAAGAACATCTTAGCTTAGGCTAGCTTATCCCAAACATGCTCAGAATACTTAATTAGCCTACACTTGGGTAGAATCCTCTAACACAAAGCCTATTTTATAATAAAATGTTGAATATCTCATGTAATTTATTGAATACTAGACTGAAAGTGAACAACAGAAAAGTTGTATGGGTACACAGTGGTTATAAATGTATTGGTTGTTGTTTACCCTCGTGATTGCATGCCTGACTGGGAGTTGCAGCTTGCTGCCACTGCCCAGCATCACAAGATAGTATCATACCACATATTGCTAGCCCAGGAAAAAAATCAAAATTTGAAGTTCAGTTTCTACTGAATACCTATTGCTTTTGCACTGTCGTAAAGTTGAAAAATCGTTAAGTTGAGCCATCATTGTTGGGGGCTACCTGTACTAGAATAACCCTATCTCTTTGCTAATGCTTTGGGCCTTCCAGCATCTCTGACTTCTAATGGGCACGAAATAGCTCTGAATGAAAAGGAAAGGTTTTAATTATGAAGTGTATGTCATTTGAAACATTTAGTTTTTGTTATTTATAGAAGTTTGTGTTTGTAGATGACTTGTTTATAGTTATAAATTAACTGAATTTAGATAAAATGTAGCCGCAAATTGTCAAGTGGTGATATTACTGAAATAAGCTGCTAGCTAGCAATTTTATCTTTAAATTTTCTAAGTGCTTATAGTTAAATATATAAGGAGTAGAATGTTACAGTAGAAGCAGCATTTTAATTGGGAGTGTTTGTAATTTTTCCATCAGATAACTTGACTTTAGCTTGAAGCTTACTAATTCTGTGATAATTTAAAAATATGTTGTTTGTGAGTAAAGTTAACCTAATGTACTGTTTGGTGCTTAATAACATTTTACTTTTTCCTTTTGCTTTCTCAAAATATAACTTTTACTTAAAATAATGTCTTAAAGTGTTTTGGCCTCCCTTCTCCCACACATTTTAAGCCAGAGACCAGCTTGATAGCAAACCTTGTGTGTAATTTCCTCTGTCTTGATTGGAGAAAATATTTTAGAAAGTTCCAAGATCTAAAATCAGATCTCTTAAACTACATATGTTATGAGACCCATATTTGCCTTTAAAATCTGAATTCCTTATTGTTGTCTTTGTTTCTAGATTCAGGAATGTTTGGAATTTTTTAATGTTTAAATATAATGTCAGAGAAAGGATTATATGGAAGGTTTTAGTTTGTCTTGGACAATTCAGACATTAGAACTTATGTGGTTTTTGGTGTCATGCTTGTCATTGAATAATTCCTGTAAATTTTGTAAAGAATTACTACACAAAGATGATAATTTTTCTTCTTTTCTCCCCCTCCCCCAGCCATCTGTTGAGTCTTCGAGTCCAGGTAAGTATTTTCTATATTTTCTATAATTTCTATTTGACTAACATTTGTCCTATTAGTTACAAAAAGGCTAGAGGAGTTAGACTATCATCTGACTTGCTTTTCTTCTGAATGCTTCTTTTCTCTGGGGAAAAAGAAATGGATGAAATATTTGACTGCCTATGAAAGTACAGGTGAGGCTGCTGTGAGTTCAACCTCATGACTATTTGTGGGTTCACTTTATGAATTACTATGTGTATTACAGGTTTTAATTGCTATTTGATTTCAAGTGTATATGAAGTGTATTTTTTCAAAAGGAGTCACTAAGAAATATTTGCTTGTGTAGGAAACTCAAAGTACTTGAGAAAAAAATTAATGCATTTAGTGAGGGAGAAAAAATAATATAAGAACATTAAAAAATGAATAATGTCGTAAATTAAGGTTATGTTCAGATGCACACCATATAGCTTTGGAGTTTCGTATTCTTTTACAAATAGAGTACAGATTCATTTTTTCTTAGAGGTTGCAAACATGTGGTATTTGAACCATATCTGGGCCACACATGTTTTTTGTTTGGCCAGTGTAGTGATCTTAAAAATTAGAATGTTTTTTATATAAAATCTGTATTTAGGCTTCTTGCGATTAGTCAGAGTTCTAGCACTACTAAGTATAGCATTCCTGTATAGCAACAATTGGTTGGAGCTGAAGAGCAGTCAGGAAAGAGTCTAGTCTTTGCCTCGGTGTCCAGGGACTTCAAGAGAGAGGACTGCCTTCTATAATGGAGTACGTGAATTAAGGAACAGCTCAGTATAGCATAAGAGTCAGGGAGCTCTCTGAGATAGGGTAGTGTTTTATTTGAAAACATCTCGTATATATTGAATATTTAGGTATGTATTACTGAATTTTCCAGATTATTGAAGCAGTCTTTCTATGTTGTAAGTTTTAGAAAGAATGTTTGTAAAAATGCTTAATATATGCCTTTTGTAATGGTTTGGGGTCATTTTCACAAACACAAATCACTGTACTCTGTGTAGTACAATATATCAAGTAGGAGCTAGACTAGAGTACCTCCAGATCCCTTCTAAATGGTTAGTGTGCTCCCAGTTGACTGTGAGTTTTGTCATATTTATTTCAGCTGAGATGTCTTACTCTTTCTAATATGCTTGGAAGTATATTAGGCTTTGTGACATTTCTGTAACTCAAGGATTTTTTTTTTAACTCCTAGTTTATAAATATGTTCTGGATGATTGAGGTTGGAAGTAATCTGACCTCAGATAAATAGTAGATTATTGTATCCTTTTTAGGACATGGAATTGTTCCCAATATTTTTTTTTCCTTTCAAACACAGACATCTTTTCATCAAAAAAATAGGTTCTAGTTTTTGTTAATGTTGTCACACTGCAAATAGACTGAGTTTTAGATATATGTATTTTTAAGATTTATTTATTTGACAGAGAAAGAGAGAGGGATCACAAGTAGGCAGAGTGGCAGGCAGAGGGAGAGGGAGAAGTAGGCCCCTGCTGAGCAGAGAGCCCAGTGCAGGGGCTCGATCCCAGGTCCTGGGATCCTGGGATCATGACCTGAGCCGAAGGCAGACGCTTAACTGACTGAGCTACCCAGGTGCCCAGAGATATTTTTCTGTGAATTTTCGAGACATTCATCAGGTAATATATAGGCACAAAAAAAGTAATTACTTCAAACGTGATATTAATAAATAGCTTTCTCATTTTCCATTGCATTTGAATCGGCTTAGGCTGAACTTGAAGAGTGGAGTTTGAAGAATAAAATATCTTTGATGGCCTTTACTACTTGCTGAATGCTTATACAAATAGATTGATTTTTTTATTTTGTTTTTGCTTTCAGACTAAGGAAAATCTTTTGAAGTAGTGTTTGTAGTATCAGGCTTCTGCCCAAAGAGAATATATATTGTTCTTATAAGTAATACTAATTGTAGGCAGTTAACAAAAGTTGGTGGAAAAAGAGTAAGAATAGAGGCTTCTGTGTAAAAAAATTTTTTGGTCCACTGGTAAAAGGCTGTGGCCTTTGTAACATCTGTACTTTGGAATTGATGTTACTAATAATAATCACATGACCCAGGCTCAGTGGTTTATCTCTAGACTTTACCAGTGTAAACCTGTAGAGGCACAATACAGGGTTTTACCTGTAAGACTTGTAGCCAATAGAGGGGGGAAATTTAGGGAAGGGAAGGAAAATGATTAAATGAGTGCATATGATATGTTATAAACAATTTATCTTTTGACTCTTTGAAAGATGTAAGATACCTTTTAGTAATTTTGCAGTAAGATGTAATTTTTTGACCAAACTGATATTTGCCTTAACTCTGAAGCAAAATATTTATTTACACAAAGCACCAGATTCCCTACCTCTAATAATTTATTTAGGGATTTTTACCTTTAGGAGACAGCCTAACAGTGGGCCTAGTAATTAACAGAAAGGAATAGGATGGTTAATTGGTTTCAACAAGGTAAAAAAGGAGTCAGATGAAACCAAGAAGTCAGATTAAGGCAAGAAAAGAAGTGAAATTGAAAGTTAGTAGAAAACAGTGCGGTGTATATGTGGAGAAAGGATTGGAGTGAGAAAGGAAAAAAGGCTTACCTACCCTTTGGTATTTCATGTAGTGCAAGGGTGAGGTGGCAAAGCTTTGAATATAATAGGAAATGACAACAAAAAATGGGAGGCTTTAAGTAAGTAATAGAACACTCGTAACTTGATGCTGTGTATTCATGTGAGTTTTGTTTTGTTATTTTAGTGAAAGTATAAGTAGTTAGGAATTAAGCATAATTAGTTTTTTACAATATTTGCATTCAATAGGAATTATATTATGATTAGGTTAATAGTATATTCAGGGTGGTGGTGTGAGGTGGTTTTAGGATCTTCCTGCCTACAAAGGAGAAGAAAAATACAGCAGCATTTGTAGGAATACATGATTATTGACTAATTGTCTTAGAAGATTGCTGGGTGAACTGAAAAGTTTTGGGAACATTTTTCATTAAAAACTCAAGAAGAAGGGATAATGATTGGGAGAAAACTGCAACTAAATCAAGGGTTCTCAAACTGCTCTCCTTGTGTCCAGTCCCTCAACCAGTACTAAGATTCCCTAATAAAATTAAGCCATGCCATATCTTTCCAAAGAAATTGATAGTGTATGTAATACGAAATATATTTTTATTTTTAAGTCATTCTAAAACGATAGTTTTTTAACTCATTTGTGTTATGAGGTGATACCTGATTTAGAAATATCTATTTAGTTATTTTATATTTAATATCAGTATTGTGTTCTTCAAAGAGCAGAATGACTTCTTTAGTGCTTCACCACCTGACCTGGCTTGCAGTTCACACATCTTAGTAAAAATAGGTTCTCTTCAGGGCCGCTGGGTGGCTCAGTCGGTTAAGCGTCCAACTCTTGATCTCAGCTCGTCTTGATCTCAGGGTTGTGAGTTCAAGCCCTGTGTTGGGCTCCACGCTGGGTGTGGAGCCTACTTAAAAAATTTTTTTTTTTTTTTTAAAGAAAAGTAGGTTCTCTTCAAGTATTCTTTGAGGCAAGATACCTACTGTCTCTGAGGCTGGGGCTTGCAGGAGGTTTGAAGTACAGTAAAAGCACAGGCATTGGAATTAGCAGACCCAGGATTTAAATTCCATCCTTGCCACCTACTGGCTCTGTGGGTTTAAACATGCTGCTTAAACTCTCTGAGCCTCAAGTTTTTGTTTTTGTTCATAGGATTGAAGATTAAATGAGATATAATGTATGTAGCGTACTTGAGCCATAGTATTAGGCACACAATAAGCACTCAAAAAGTGGTGTTTACACTCAGAATTGAGGGAGATGACAGAAACCCTGAGCCTTGGGCACCCCATTATCCCTGGTAGTCTGTTTTTCAAGAAATCAACCTTTAACTTTGTTTCACTTACTGGTCCTCTTACTGGACTGAAGGAAGGGTATATTGATGTAATATATTGTGTTTTTTTGTCTTTAAATGATTTTTTATTGTTATGTTAATCACCATACATTACATCATTAGTTTTTGATGTAGTGTTCCATGATTCATTGTGCATAACACCCAGTGCTCCATCCACGCAGAATGTGCCCTCTTTAATACCCATCACCAGGCTAACCCATCCTCCCGATGTAATATATTGTTAATTAATGATATTAATCTTAATATAACAACATAACTTTTAACAGTTTAAATTGATTTAAAAATTGCTAATTAAGTTTTTAAATGTTAAATAACTCATTTATTAGTAAAAAATGCTTTTGCAAACTTAAGTCCAGGTTTGGCAATAGCCAAATGGGATAGTTTACAGAATGTATATGCCGAGCACTTGCAATCTAGTATTACAGGCTTGACCCTATTGAGTACAGCAGTATTCCCCAGCCACCAGGCTAAAAATAGATTAGCTTACACATCAGTTACCTATTGGAGTATTTTTAATGACTTTCATAAGAGTTCTATATGCAGTTTTTAAAAAATTTTGCTTTATATTCTATGTCAGAATTATTTCAGACTGAAATCAACTAAGTTAAGAACAGCTACCTGTATGTTAAAATATATTTTGGGGGAAGAGCTAATAGAATAATATTTGAGTGCAGCTGTATTTTCATTAGACTGTTCAGATGACTTTGTATTTCACATCACTGTGTATTCTCATGGGCCATAAGGGTTCATGCTCATTGGGTCTATTAAATATCAAATGATTAAGAATTGTGATTTTTCCCACACAAATGATCGTTCTGTTTTTGATATGACCCTTTATTCTTTGCAACTGAAATTTTATGTTTAGATGACAGTACTTTTTAAAAGCTACATAATTTTTTAAAGCTATACTCTCCTCCCACCACCCCATACTAGTTGCAGTTTTAACTGTGAATATATAGAGGTGAAACAGGGCAAAAAATAATCCCTTAGAGAAGAGGGGTTTTGCAGGAGGTTGGTGATGAGTGTAAGGGCAAGAATTTTAGAAAACAAATAAGGCTTGATATGCATAGCTTTTCCCTGATACTTTTATTTGACTTCTGTCCAGCTTCATATAACATACACATTAAATTAATAACACTTAATTTGGTTTACCAAACTTTTTAAAATATTCTTTACCAGGAGGTTCAGCAACATCAGATGACCATGAATTTGATCCATCAGCTGACATGCTGGTTCATGATTTTGATGATGAACGAACATTAGAAGAGGAAGAAATGATGGAAGGAGAAACAAACTTCAGTTCTGAAATAGAGGATCTTGCAAGGGTAAATAAACACTAAGAGCTAGAGGATGAAGTAGTCGTGGCTTTTTTGCGGAGAGTAGTCATGGCTTTTTTGCAGAGGAAATACTTGAAATTTTGGGTCTCTACCTTTTTTGGGGGGAAAAGTGGTGTTGTATATAATTGATACTGAAAAATTTTATGTGGTCGTAGGTGCGGTATTTAAAGTTTGAAATGAAAGGCTTTTTTTTTTTTTTAATAACTATTTGGAATAGAATTAAAATAGTTAACTTTAGTAAAACATCACAGGTATCCAGTCACAGATGGGCTATATAAAGGGGGTGCTTGGGTGGCTCAGTTGGTTAAGTGTCCTACTCTTGATTTCAGCTCAGGGTTGTGAGATCAAGTCAGGTTGTTGGGCTCTGCACTGGGTGTGGAGCCTGCTTAAGATTCTCTCTCTCTCCCTCTGCCCCTCCACCCCTTTCCTGCTCTCTAAAAAAAAAGTATGCTGAATTTCCTCATACATACCTCTGTCCTCCCCCACTTGCTGACCTTTTACTTAATACCCTTTCAGGGCCAGAATTTCTTAATAGTGGTTATCATCTTCCTCATTTCCCATTTATTCTATAAAATACTCTAGGTAGTCTCTGCCCTTTCCTGTCAAGATGACCAATGATTTTATTGTTTTATGTATCAGTCACTTTTCTCTCTACTTCATTCTCAGCCATATTCAACAGTTAACACTCCCTTCTTTTATTTGAATTCTGGAGTACCCCACTGTCCAGTTTTTCCTATCTGTTTCTATTCATTGCCCTTTGCAGACTCATCTTTCGTCACCCAAGGTTTAAATTTGGAATTCCCCAATTCTCTGTTTTGGACTTTTCTTCTGTCTGTAAATTAGTGCTCCTCAAAATGTAGTATGAAGGTCAGCTGCTTCAGAATCGCTCATGGACTTAAGAAATGCAGATTCCTATACCTCTTCCCAGGCATACTGAATTAGAATCTCCGGAATGTATACATACACACCAAATTTGAAAATTATTAATTAGGTGATCTGATCTAATCTATTCCCATGGTATCAGTATTCTTTATTTTTCTAGCACTGACATATTTCTTGTCCCCAGTTTTGTTTATCTAACCTTCCCTGCTTGACATTTCCGCTTGGATATCTCAATAGATATCTTTAAATTTTAAATGTCCTAAGGGCGCCTGGGTGGCTCAGTTGGTTAAGCGTCTCTTTTTTCGGCTCAGGTCATGATCTCAGCGTCCTGGGTCCAACTCCACATCAGGCTCTGTGCTCAGTGGGGAGTTGGCTTGAATACTCTCTCTCTCTGCCCCACCCTCGGCTCGTGTGTTTGTGTGTGCACGCGCATGCGCTTTCTCTCGCTAACATAAATAAAAATCTTTTTAAAAAATTCTTTAAAAATAGGGACGCCTGGGTGGCTCAGTCGTTAAGCTTCTGCCTTCGGCTCAGGTCATGATCCCAGGGTGCTGGAATCAAGCCCCGCATTGGGCTCCTTGCTCGGCGGGAAACCTGCTTTTCCCTCTCCCACTCCCCCTGCTTGTGTTCCCTCTCTCGCTGTCTCTCTGTCAAAAATAAATAAAATCTTTTTTAAAAAATTCTTTAAAAATAAAGTTTAAATGTCCAAAGCAGAACTGTTGATTGATGTTCTTCCTCCATCTGTTCCTTCTCTGTCTTCAGCTTAATAAAAAATGGCACTATATTGTACCTTGTTGCCTAAGTCAGAAATCAAGGAGTCCTCTTCCTTCATTCCCAATACTCAATCCTAAATAAGCTTATCATTTTTACCCACAAAGATACCTCTTATCTGACTGTTGTTCCATCTCTGCTGCCACTCTCTAGCCCAGGTCACCATTTCTAGCCTAGACTATTTATAGTAACTTCCTAACTAGATTCTCCTCATTTCCTCTTTTACCACTCTTCCCTCCAGGATATTTCTATAGTAGCCATGATGGTCTTTTCAAAATACAAATCCATTTGTGTCAGCCTTTTATTTAAAATTGCTTCAGTGGTTTCCTGTTACACAAGAAGAAAATCCAGATTCCTTGACTTGGCCAGCAAGGCCACCTGCGTGATAGGGTCCTTCATCCATGTATTATAGTGCCTCTGTCATGCTCTTAAATAGCCACATCAGCTGCTTCTGTTCTTAGATGTGCTTTTTCTTTCTGCTTCAAGGCTTTTCAGCTCATTCCTGCTCCTTGATATGTGCTTTGAGACCGACTCTTATCCTCTTAAGTCTGGGCTTAATGTTGCCTCCTCAGAATGACCTTAACCTGTCTCCTAATTAGCTTTTTTTTAAACCATTATACCCCATTCAATGCTTTCTTATAACTAACACAATTTGTAATTACATGTTTGTCTAATTTATTATCTGTGTCCTCCTTTAGTTCTGACAGGAGGGACAGTTTTTGTTTTATTCACCAGTGTATTTCCTGGTACTTAGCAAGAGTGGTCAAACATTTTGAATGAATGAATGGATAAATCAATCTGGTATGCTCTGATTTAAAATGTCCTACATAAATGATCTGCACTCCATGATAAAAACATAAATAAGACATCGTGTCAGTCTTTAAGCATTTGGAATACATAATATCGTGGAAAAATGAATTGTACTTCTGTAGTAATAAAGACTAATCTGTGTTTGAGAATTTTAGTTTGGAACTTTTTAAAGTGTACATTTAAAGAGCTAGAAGAGGAATCCTATTAATATCTAGTCGTATCTTGTCAGATGGTCCCGTTTTGGATCTTTTAGTAATTAAAGCTGGCTTATAATGCCTAAGCAATTCAATATTTTATGAAGTCAAAAAACAGAATTGGTTTTAGGGGCAATGATGTATAGCTGTTATAAAAGCTTTTCAAGAATGAGTTAAAAGCACATGAAGAGCCTGGAGTCAAAACTATTCTTTAGAAGAGGCTGGAAAGTCATTCAGAAGACTGGTATAATTTGTTTGAATGATTCAGAACCTAGATGAACATCGAAAGAAACAATCATAGTCACTTCATATATTCATTAAGTGGAAAGGCAGTTATTTGCCTATATTTCATAGAAATTTCTATCGCTTTAGATATATTTTCGTTTCTGAATAACCCATCCATGGGATAACATTTAAAGGAGGAAAATGTTATATTTTCCATTTTCTCACATTCTACATTACTCAAATAGTTGAGTAAGTAGTTACTTAAGAGGAGATAATCAGTACAGGTTATGTAGTAGAATGATTATTGTTTTCTTCTGTTTTGGAAAATAGGCTATTACATTTAATTAGTACAAAATCGCTAATAGACTTTGCTAAAAATTTGGATGTGTATTGTCTTTTACTATTTCTACTTTATTCTCTGCCTCCTTCAGGCTTTTACAGCCTCCCCAAATTTGCTTTCAAATGACCCTTCTTAGGGAAAAAAACTTAAAGTAGAATTATTTATAGAGGATATAGAAAGAAAGAGACAGGGAACCAATCTTTTATTATTCTCTTCATCCAGGCAGTCTTACACCTTCTCAGATGCTTCTAGCTTTTCCCAGAATAATTAAGGCTTAGGTTTAAGTTGCGCAAAATCACCAATGCTTTCATCTGTAACCTGCTGCTAAGCTAGTTCAGGGCCAGTATAATTATAAACTCTTTAGGAATGAACCAAACTAAACTTTTTTTTTTTAATTTAAAAAATGAGGAAGATTTTCTCATATTGATTACTGATTTTCTTTTATAGAAACGAAACATTACAGCTCTGTCAAGATTCGTTTAGTTGGTTTTTACTTGTAAGGCATGTTGTATGCAGTGGACTTTTGATGTAATTATGGCAGAATTCTGACAGTTGATTCATTCAGGAGTTATCAACTGCATGGTCTGTAGTTTTAAGTTCATTGAAAAGTAGCTTTCCATAGAAGATGCTTTGATGTTTGTTATTACATTTCAGTATAGTTCAAATATAGGCATAAAGCTTAATATTGTAAAAGGTGGTTATATAACTTTACCATTTAAATGTTTTAGAATTAGATACACAGGTTAGAATTTATTGTGGTGATCTTAGAGAGTGTCAGAATCATTCCCATAGTAGATAGACTTTTTGCTAGAAATAGCAATATGTAGGCTGGTTTAACTGTTTTTCAGATGTATTCTTAAAATTCATAGTCTTGCTTTGAATGGCACAATTGTAGCGGTCTATTTGGGAGAAGAGGGATCGGGATCAGCTGAGCATCTGCCTTCGGCTCAGGTCATGATCCCGGGGTCCTGGGATCGAGCCCCGCATCGGGCTCCCTGCTCTGCGGGAAGCCTGCTTCTCCCTCTCCCACCGCCCCCCGCTTGTGTTCCTTCTCTCTCTCTCTCTCTGTCAAATAAATAAATAAAATCTTTAAAAAAAAACACATTATAATAATATTATACTTAATATTCACTTTGAAGTGCTAGACACATACCATCTGATGAATCTTCAGAACTAGAAAATAAAAACTAAAATGTGAGAGCTTGAATATTTTTTGAAGTATACACACAAGAATTATATTGAATAAAAAACCCGAGTGTGGGGATTATAAAGAAACGTTCAGTGCCTCCATCCCTTTATAGATTATCTTATAGTGAAACCCCAACCCCAAGAGGTTGGTTACCTCAGGAACTGTCTCTGTAGTCCAATCTGGATATAGTCCCCTGGACCATTCTGGCTAGAAATCAGTCTCTTTCCTTCTTCCTCCCCTTTCTTTTGTAAGCATTTATTGGTAAGTCATTTGTGGTACAAGGTAGAAGAAGAGTACTGTGTCCATCCACCAAATGGCCCTTGAATAGCCAGTATCTGCTGTCACCTGCAGTCATTTCTAAATGGCTAATCTGATAGGAGGCAGAGGGACACCTCTCCAACCTTCAAATAATACTGAAGTTATTTGGTAACTTTACCATATTGTTTTAAAGTTAAAGGACAGATTTAACTTCAGATAAAATGTCTTTTAAAAAATCTATTCTTTTCACCTCCAGCTAGCCTCCCTTTAGGGTATGCAGGCAGGATTGCTCCTGTTTTTGTTATAGTGCTTAGTTAAC